AGACGTGACACAAAGTAAAGAAGCAATTAAGACATGTTACGGTTATGCTTGACATGCACTGTCTAGAAAAGCCCACCTCAATCCTGTCGGGTGTTATGATTTAACCAGGAGTGAAACGAGCGATAATTATAGAATAATATTGGATGTAGATTTATTATTATTCACTCCTGATTAAACGCACAAATTAGAGTACTGTTTTGCGAGGTCAGAAGTAATAGTTAAGTCTGCATTAGTAATTAAAGCCCGGAAGTAATTATACACGCACGGGTGATTGCCCCACCAACGCTGTGATAGCTCTGAAGGCACGTCTTAGCACTCTGCCGGTGCTACTTCCTAGCAGTAGTTGATAATTACTATTCGATTTGTGTGTAAAGTGCGTTAGTTAGTCGCCGACCGTACACAGCTACCGAAACGGCACTGTAATCACTGATTTGTACCGCAACGAATGTGCGGCTAATCGTTTAATGCCTAACAACGAAGGCGTTGTAACTTCAGGGGGCGGTGCAGGATTTTTGTCTAGGGGGAGGGGGTCGGTGGAAAGGGCACTTTGAGATTTTGTGTAGGGGCCAACTAAGCGGCGGCTGACGGCCGCGCTTCGTGCGCGATGGAGCGACAGGCTGCGAAGGACGGGGGTGGGTCGGCGGGGGCCTCCCGCCAGAATTTTTTAAAAATCAGACTCCTTTTTATGCATTTTCAGAGCATATGAGGCCGAAATTTTGTTCTTCAAGTCTTGTCATTAGCCAATGAACAGACAATTCTCAGACTCAGGCAAATCCACAACGCCACAAAAACCATCAACTGCCGTGAATGTATAACTGCCATCAGAGCGACAAGAATTCTAGCACCGGGCTGAATCAAACTGCGTATGGATTTGAACAACTTTTTTTACAAAAGAAATTAAGAATGCATTACATGTACTAATTTTATATGCTTTCCGTTTCATTACATTTGCTATAAACTTGAACTTCAACTTGGAATTTCAATGACTGATTATATTATCTTATCTTAAACATACTTCAGTTGACTCTTGCCACACGGGGCGTGTACAGGATTGTGTACCAGCGGCAGGGGTTCCACCCGCTTAACCCAAAATTGGGAGCACGCGGAAGGGGGGCGTTTTAGGGGGCCTCTCCCCAGAATTTTTTTGAAATTAGACCCCCTCAGATGCGTTTTCTGCGCCGAGCAGCGGTGGGGGGTCCGGACCCCCCTGGGATTCCCGCACCCCCGGCTACACGCCCCCTGTGCAGTAGCAGCCGTAAGCCAGCTTGTCTATTCGGGGGGGGTTCGGTTTTTCAATGTTGGGCAATTTGCTCGCAGCGGGAGGAGAGCGTCCTGTACAGGATTTGTTACCAGGGCGGGTCTAAGCCGTAACCCATAGTGCGGCACGGAAAGGGGGCGGTCGTTGGGGGGGCCCCTCCCCAGAATTGTTTAAAATTACACCCCCTAGATCCGTTTTCTGCCGCGAAGCAAGGGGGGGTCCGGACTTCCTGGCACGCCCACCCTGTACCACGCCCTGCTCGGGCGCGAAGGGCGACAGCGCAGGGAGCAAGCGACCGAGCGGTGGGGAGGGTGTGGGAGGGGGGTGTTCGCACTGTTCACCTCCCGGCACGATGGAGATTTTGCAATTATTTACACTAAAATGGAGCGACCTGACGCAGCTGATAATTCTTGCCAATTTTCAAAAAAAAAATTTATTTTTGGTTGGGGGGAGGGGCTCGGGGGTCGGTTCGTTCGAACCCCCCGGAACCCCCCCTGGCTACGGGGCCTGCCAGTCAGTATCTACATTTTGCCAAATTGGCTATCCCGGGCGCTCTACATGAGTATAGAACTGTGCTGTAGGCTAGCTGACTCTAGACGTAGAGGAATATAGTAATTAGTACTACTAAGTGTACGTTTTAAGTAAAAAGTGCAAGATAACATCGCAAAGACTATTGCAGAATGAAATTATTGAAGCAAATTAGAGGGGGGTTAGTACCCCAGGAGGGTAACAGTCTATAACAAAGCAATTCAACGGTGGGCCGCAGCCTGGCGGCGATCTGTCGACAGCCAGAAAACATGTGCAGGGTCAGCCCCTCCGTCCCCCCTAAAAACAGTTTGGGCCAGAAAAGTGCAACTCAAATTTTTTAGGGGGGGCGTGCGCTCCCCCCCTGCGATCCGCGCCCTGAAACTTTCCAGAATATATTGATGCAAGAATTGAAAAGGTTAATAATGCTATGAGCCTGAACGTTCATGTACCGTACACAAACTATAGAATGTAAACCTCTATTCCTGCTCAGCTCTTAGATACATAAATCGATGATATCAGGATAATTAGGTATAGGCAAATCTTATGTCTAGTTATCTAACATCCTGGTTGATATATTGATTTCTATGAGTAACTGATGGGTAATAAAGTAAACGGACTCGCAGATTAACGGAAGGACGCACGGACGGGCAGGCACACAGACTAGCAGACATATACGTACTTACGCACGCACGCGCGCCACATGAGCGTCCACGACAAACGCATTGCCGCCTCTGTAAACACAGCATAAATGCCGCACTCACGCGCAGCACGCGCACGCACGTACACACACACCACACACACACACACACACAACACACACACACACACACACACACACACACACACACACACACACACACACACACACACACACACACACACACACAACATATGATATATAGCAAAGTCATGTGATGCACTAAAAACATTAATGCCTGTTGTTGGGGGCACTATGCTGTCATAGTGCCCCCAACAACAGGCATTAATATATAAGTGGTGATGACGACTATGCTCATGAGTTATGATGCTAACGACTATGCTAACGAGTTATATCGCTCACTTTCGACAGCGTTCTCTGAGAACGGATACTACCTGGCGACGTCGGCGGACGATTCTGTCGTCAAGCTGTGGGATCTGCGCAAGCTGAAGAACTTCAAGACAATCACGCTGGATGAGAACGCAGAGGTGAAGAGCCTCTGCTTCGACCAGAGCGGCACCTATCTGGCCGTGGCCGGCACCGATGTGAGGTAAGCAGCCGCCAGCATCACGCACTCACTAGTGGTGCCCTCTAGGCAGCCGCCAGTACCCTGCGCGCACTAGTGGTGCCCTCTAAGCAGCCGCCGGCACCCCGCGCGCGCTATTGGTGCCCTCTAGGCAGCCGCCGGCACCCCGCGCACGTTAGTGGTGCCCTCTAGGCAGCCGCCGGCACCCCGCGCACGTTAGTGGTGCCCTCTAGGCAGCCGCCAGCACCCTGCGCGCGCTAGTGGTGCCCTCTAGGCAGCCGCCGGCACCCCACGCACGTTAGTGGTGCCCTCTAGGCAGCCGCCAGCACCCTGCGTGCGCTAGGTGCAGCACCCCCGAATTTTGGACGGCACCTCATAATACCCAGGTCCAAATAGCTGGGGGAGAGGGTAGAGCTTTGTCGAGATTTTCATAAATGGCAGTCCGTGTTGATGCGCGTTCAGTTCGCACCGACTGCTGTGTGCTGTGTCTCGCTATCAGCCGTGACCAACGCGGCGTTCCGTCATTCGTGCTAACCGTCATTCTCTCGTGGACAGGGTGTACCTGTGATTCGTGCTAACCGTCATTCTTTTGTGGACAGGGTGTACCTGTGATTCGTGCTAACCGTCATTCTCTCGTGGACAGGGTGTACCTGTGATTCGTGCTAACCGTCGTTCTCTCGCGGACAGGGTGTACCTGTGTAAGCAGTGGCAGGAGCTGGCAGTGTTCGGCGAACACACGCAGCTGGTGACGGGTGTGAGGTTCGCGCACAACGCCCGTTTCATCGCCACCACCTCCATGGACAGGTCTCTCAAGTTCTTCAGCACCTAACCACTCACCGTGAGAGCCGACAGAAGTGCATCAGGGCTGCACCCGTGGGCAGCCAGCTCAGAGATGATGACCAGACACTTCGCTACAGGCTACACCTTGTTTATCCTGCCCTCAAGTTACTTATAATAGTTCCCCAGAATCACGGCATGTATGTGGTGCCTTGTCATGGTTGTAGGGCGATGTCTCTGCAACTAGTGCTGTATTGTGGGTTATTGTCCCAGTATCTAGCTATAGAGTATGGTTACCTTACATATAGTATTGTAATCTGGCTCACGTGTCCCAGCAACTAGCACTGAAAAATTGGTCAGTATTTTTGCACCTATGCATGTACTACGGTTGGGTGTTTTGGCATCTAGCAAGAGGTTACAGTTTAGTGTCCTGGCATCAGGCCACAATATATTTCACTTTGTCTTTTATCTTGGCCCATTTGGTGAAATTTTCGTGTTTGATCATGATGCCACAGATCATGGTAATGCTGTGAAATAATTAGTAACAGTTCCGAATTGTCAGGCCACTCACTGATGTAGTGAGTATAGTGTGAAGTACATTAATTATTTTTCTGTTCTTCTATGAGATGATAAGGACGAATAACTTTACCACTGAGTAGCACGCGTGTGAGAGGGGGCTGGGTTCTGCATGGCTGTTGTGGGAAAGCATTTAACAGGCACACAGCAGCCACTTGACCTCGTGCGAAAAATCACTGTAACTGTACGTTAGAGTAGTCCCATGTACAGCTGTCTATACTCTAGGTAGATGTAGCAGCTTATTTTTTCATCGTATCTCATGTACACTGAACGCAAATAAGGAAATTGCTAGCTCTTGGAACATTGGGAACGCGTGCCCTGTTGCTGTAACAGTACTTTTCATCAGTGGGTTCTAATATATGAAAATAATAAAAAAATGAAAATTTTAATTATATACTTTTGGTGTATTTGTCAAATAGTCAAAAGTAGTTTATTCTATTCTAGTTTATTGATCTGACAATTATGTTTGGCCTGATACCTCCTGTTAGAAACGTTCACCTGTCTGTTTGCAAGTCTTGGCTCCAAGTTAATATGAGGGAAAGCTACCTTCTGGCAGCTGTGTGTGCAGCTGTGTTATTTCTTTGCAATACAGTGTTAAGCGTTATAATACAATTAAGAGCTAATAATCCCTTTAGTATTATAATACTATAATTACTATACTATATATATACTACAATATATATATACAATACTATATATTATAATACTATAGAATAATAATAGCTTAGGTATTATTAGCTCTTGATACAATCCATTGATGTGACAGCTACGGATCATTTCTCTGTTGCGCGAGAGTTGACCTTTCTAAAACGCAAAGCTTTTAGAAGTTATTCACGGTCGTAAGCCAATAGGTTCCACTTGTGCTTACGAAAAATCATCGTGTCAATTTCTATAATGTGGAAAACGTCTCCTACCTAGCTAATTAATTGCCAAGAAAATATGTAGGAATGGATTACGCACGAACAGTCAGGTGGCGACACCTGGTTGTTGATGTATCAAAATACGTTTGCATAGATAAGTATCTAGCGGATTAGATCTATTCAGATATTACGATCGGCAGTAATTAACGCACCTTCGATTAGTGAACCGGAGATAAATCATTTTAACTCGGAGAAACCTATCGGGTCATTGTCGCTACTGGTCAATTTGTAGACTTGACCAAATTGTCACTAAAATGTGTGTAGGAAAATACACACTGAGTAATAAATTAAAAAAATATTATAATAGTTAAGATCCCTGCCCATGTCAACCATGAATAAAAAGAGGGAAACAAACGAGTTTTAGCAGATACTGTTCCGTGAATTTTGGATTAAATTTAATATTATTTATTATTTGTAAAGATTTGGGACATATGGAGGTGAATATGGCCCTTAAGCTTTTTTCCATGGGTTGGAGGCTGAAGAAGATCTTTAATTTCACCAGCTCAACAAGTACTATTAGCAAGAAATTTATACAGAAAGGATTGCTCTCAATGAATTAGGGTGTAAAACAACTATTTTTTTACTTTATATATGAATCTAATTTATATATGACTCTAAAATGCTAAAACAACTTGTCACATATTGTTCTTGAAACAAACATGTCTTTGAAATGTCCTTGAAGTCTTTGAAAAAATAATTCACACTTGTGGGAACCATGTACTGAGTAACTAGCAGTAATAATGTACCATAGAATCAATCATCACGAAAAAAATAAGAAAAAAACAATAATACCTTTTCATTCAATATCTGGTATTCTATCTATTTCTATTTATCTATATCTGATATGTCTATCTATTTATATAGTACTTTAATCTATATTATATCAGGTTATATTCTCTCGGGAATAAGTGATCTCCCTCTCCCAAATGGTATCGCCTATGACCTCGTTAGCACGGTGAATTTTATTCAGGCAAATGGCTGGTTTTCAGCCTAAACTTTTTCATCCCCCAAAGCACAAAATATGATTATACGGCTATAATAGACGCTAGCAAAGGACAACAGACGCGGTGATGATGTGTGTCGACGTGCGGGTCGATGCAAGCGTTTGTGAAGGGGATAGTCTCTGCTTGTGGCAATCGAGAGTCAGTGTACGACGAAGGACCGCCAGTATCACTAGCGTGTCCACGTCGCAGCAAGCAAAAGACATTTGAACAGACTGCGACAACTACACCGCCCGTACGGTACCGACGGTAAGTGAGCGATAGTTAAGTCGAAAGATTGAGTCGGCGTCGGAATGATAATTAATACATTTCAAGAAATCGAAAGCGTATTAATTTTTAAGCGGTTGCCAACAATGCGTCAGTGACCGTTTCTTGTCGAAACGTCAACTGTTGCACTTAGCGCACAGCTGAATGGTTTGCGGTAATATGAAATGCATCGTGACAAAATAGAATTATAAGTCACAGGACGGCGTAACATAGAAGAGATGTTTTAATGGTTTGCCCTTACCAACTTTTTTTCTCGTTTCATCTATTCTCCCGGTTGCCGGTGAGAGGATACGCGCATCTCCATGTCCATCGGACACTCGATCAAACTTGAAGCGTAATCGTGATTGCGCCTGTTATATCTATAGGCCTGCGCATGTCAGCTGGCGGTTGGCTTGAAGATGAAATATCACACTATATAAGTCACGTCTGTACAGTCGTCCTTATAATACGCACCGTAATCACATAGAGCTAATAAAGAATTATAAGTGAAGGCGTACAACCATCATTCAGGAAGACAGGCTAATTAGTCGCGTTAAATAAAAAGGATAAGGGTACAAATACATATATACTATATAATATATATATATATATATATATAGTGTGGTGTGTGTGGTGTGTGTGTGTGTGTGTGTGTGTGTGTGTGTGTGTGTGTGTGTGTGTGTGTGTATGTGTGTGTGTGGTGTGTGGTGTGTGTGGTACGTGCGTGCGCGTGCTGCGGTGAGTGCGAGCATTTATGGCTGTGCTTTACGACCGCGTGCAATGCGTTTGTCGTGGGAGCGCCTCATCGTGTGCGCGGCGTGCGTGGCGTACGTACGTATACCTGTCTGCTAGCGTGTGCCTGCCGCTTCCGAGTCGTCTCCGTTAATCTGCGATCCCGTTTACTTTATTACCATCAGTTACTCATAGAATCAATATATCAACCAGGAGTTAGATAACAGAATAAGATTTCCTATTACCTAATTACTCCTGATATCAATCGATCTATGTATACTAATGAGTGAGAGGGAATAGAGGTTTACATTCTATAGTTTGTGTACGGTACATGAAGTTCAGGCTCATAGATTATTAACTTTTCAATTCTTGCATCAATATATTCTGGAAAGTTTCAGGGCGGCGGATCCAGGGGGGGGGCGCACCCCCCCCTAAAAAATTTGAGTTGCCCTTTTTCTGGCCCAAATAGTTTTTAGGGGGGACGGGGGGCTGACCCCGCACATTGTTTTCTGCTGTCGACAGATGCGCCGCCAGGCTGCGGCCCACCGTTGAATTGCTTTGTTATACGACTGTACCCCTCCTGGGGACTAACCCCCCTCTAATTTTGCTTCAATAATTTCATTCTGAATAGTCTTTCGATGTTTCTTTGCATTTTTACTTAAAACGTACCTTAGTAGTACTATTACAATTCCCGGTCTATATGGTACGTCTACACTGCATTCTATCTAAGGTGGCCCAAGGACATGAGCCGCACTCATTTGGTCTACAATATTGGCAAAAGAGTACTAGACTGGCAGGCCCCGTAGCCAGGGGGGGTTCCGGGGGGTTCGAACGAACGCACCCCCGAGCCCCTCCCCTCCAACAAAAATAATTTTTTTTTTGAAAATTGGCAAGAATTATCACGTTCAGGTCGCTCCATTTTAGTGTAATAATTGCAAATATCTCATCGTGGCGGGAGGTGAACAGTGAACACCCCCCTCCCACACCCTCCCCACCGCTCGGTCGCTTGCTCCTCGCCTGTCGCGTTCGCGCCCGAGCAGGGGCGTGTACAGGGGGGGTCCAAGGGAAGTCCGGACCCCCCCTTGCTCGCGCAGAAAACGGATCTGAGGGGGTGTAATTTAAAAATTTCTGGGGGAGGGCCCCCCCAGACCGCCCGCCTTTCGCGTGCTCGCACTATGGTTACGGTTAGACCCGCCCTGGTACAAATCCTGTACAAGACGCCTCCACCGCGCGAGCAAATTGCCAACATTGAAAAACGAACCCCCCCAATAGAAAGCTGGCTACGGCCTGCTACTGCACAGGGGCGTGTACCGGGGGTGGGGAATCCGGAGGGGTCCGGACCCCCCACCCTGCTGCGGCGCAGAAAACGCATCTGAGGGGTCTAATTTCAAAAAAATTCTGCGGAGAGGCCCCCTAAAACCCCCCCCTTCGCGTGCTCCCAATTTTGGGTTACGGGTGGACCCCTCCTGGTATCAAATCCTGTACACGCCCCTGTGGCAAGAGTAACTGAGTATGTTTAAGTAAGATAATATATCAGTCATTGAAATTCAAGTTGAAGTTCAAGTTTTATAGCAAATGTATGAAACGGAAAGCATATAAATT